CTTATATAAAGGTAATAATATATACGAAGGCACTTGAACTCTAATCTTGATAATGCTTTCATATGTATGCATGTTATTATTATTTTATTTTTTTTGCAATACTTAATGTTATTGTTAATTGTTTCTATGAATATCTAATATATAGCTTATTTTTGTTGTTTCTCCATGTCCTCAATATTCCCTTTATCCATATAGTTTAATTTGTAATATTATATCATGATGTAATGCACAATTAGTTAAAAAAGTCAAAAATGTCCCTTTTTTTTACAAAATGATACATTTATTTATGTGAAAACAAATTTATAATCAAGTGTGATTTTAGCCAAATTCTGTTGTTTGAAAAGCTAAAATGAAAATTTTCTCCTTTATCATAATTTTAAGAATATTTTTACAATTTTCACTATTTAAATATTTACCTTTTATATTATGTTATTTCTTGCATTGAAGTTTTTGTCACCTCAAGATTTTTCTTATATATACACCTAAGGCCTACTGTGTCAACAAATTTGATTGAATCAAGGTTTGAAATTTTTCTTAATTTCTTAATTTGTTGATATTCTTTTCAAATCAATGAATTGTTGAATAGTTCCCTTATTTCATCACATACACTACATCATAGAAACTACTACATATTTTCCTAGTTCACTAAAACCAAGTCATTCATCTAAAATATCTTCATCAATCTTTATCTAGAAATCATGTATTATCTTCTCAACATTAATTATGTACAAACAATCTTCTACATGTAAATAAATAAGGAATGTGTTATTGATTTGGATTTCAAGGTATGATGTTTGTTTGTATTTGCTCTTGTGAAAGCCTTGATATAGGAAATACCCAACAATGTGACAATAAAATGTTAACATGCAAAGAAATTCTTATGTTTTTAACTTTGAAAAAATATTTTCATCTTAATTAAGTTTACTATAGAAGAAAACTAATTTATCTCATAATTCAAGTTTTTCTAAATTATTTAGACAAAGAGATAAGTAGTTTAACGTGATAACTAAGATTGTGTTTTACATTTATGTTGTTGTTCTAATTATATAAGTTTTATTTTTCTACAATCACTCCATCATTTTAGTGATATTAATTCTTGATTTAACTAGGCCTGAACAATCAATGGGTATACAGACGCATCAAGTAGCCCCCACTAATGCAAATAAGGTTACTACACAACTTGACAAAGAAATCATTGTTGAATCTTCATCTATAAGGTTAGAATTTACTTCGAGTTACATTTGATTTTGTGTAGTTCAAAAGCTTCCTAAGTAGACATGGTTGTTTGGAACTTTGGATTGATTTGGCTTTAAGTTAGAAACCATAAGAATATACTTAAGGAAACATACTCAAGTTGGTTTATGAAAAATGTTTGTCTACACTTGAAATCTTATATGTAACAACTCAAAAGGTCACTACATGGATACTCTAGCTCAAAACATACATGTCATATACCTTAAGATTTTCTATACAAGTAAAACTTGTGCATATCAGATACTTGCATAAATATGTAAAAAACTTTAGACTTTATACACATTCAAACAACCAAAAGGTCCTTAATACGATGAAATAACATAGAGATCCATTTTTGGGATTACAACTTTGCAAAATATATATGATATACAAGAGAACCAAAATAGCCCCTAAGTCGATCTTCAACTATACATCTTTTTGGTATAACAAAGCTTAGGTACAAGCTTACCACAACATTGGTATGCATTTACTAAGCCTCAAATGAAATTAGCTTGCCTCCTGTCTTCCAAGTTCAACACACTCTTCTAGTACTAGGTTAGAATCCTCTCTTGCAATCCATCAACTTACATGCCAACTCACAAACCCTTTATAACAAGTATGAATCAACTCAACTCCATACTTTTTCAATAAAACATGCATAAATGATATTTTTTCCATTAAAACAATCCTTCATAATGGATCTATCGAGCCGATTACTCCTTAACAAAGACCCACTCACGATGCCTCACAATCAAATTCTCGGTTCAACACTTCCATTTGTAGCAAAATTTGTCTCTAAACACTTCTTGAAAAACATTCAAGAAAATAACCTTTCTAAGGTTTTCTCTCATCCACCAACATCATCAACATTAATTTAAATTCATTTTCACATCAAACACAATATACATCAGTACCCCTTTTAGGGATTTCATTCTATAAGATTGAATATCGTTCAATTATGAAAACTCATTCAAGTCTACATTCACCTCATGAGCAATATATATCTTAACTAGTCATTACAAGAATAATTCAAATTTCACTACAATAAGAAAAATATAAAATATATAATTAATATTGGTTACAAATAATTTTGTACATTTTATTTATTTAAGTGTATTTATTGTATAATAGTTCTCACTCCTTATTTTTCATTGTTTTAAAATTAAATTAATTATAATGCAAATAGATGGATGTTCCCGACATACCTGACCTTTTTACTTCAGTTATATTGAATGTATTCTCTAAAACGAATTGGAGCGTCGATACAATTGTCAATTCGATTACTTTTCACGGTGTAGGATTATCAACTTTTATATTTTCTCCAAACCAGGAAATTCCCATTGTTGTGGATGGTTCCATAGTAGTTACCTTTTATCTACCTCGGCCAATCATGTCAATCCAATAGTAATTTTATTTCAGTCTAATATGTAATTATTATAGTAGAAGTGTATAAATAAATAGTTTATAAATAAGTACATTATTGTAAATATTTTATAATAATTTTCGATGCATATAAAATTCAACTATATATATGTACATTATTTCATGGAATTTTCTTTCGTCTTATTATAAATATTATTAATTTTATAGTTGCGTTAATAATCTATAAGAAAGACATTAGTTAACATTAAAATTTAGAACTATAAAAAAAATAGGCATTACATTTGGTGTAATGGGCTTTGTAGGTAATGGGCCGAGGTTTGGCAGGCTAAGTTCAATGGGTGAAGGAATTGGGTTAACAAAAAGATTGTCATGTAAATGATTATTTTTAACAAAGGCAAAACTCATTTCATAAAAAAAATGACACTGGAGACAAATATTTCTTTTGTTTCTAAAATGAAACATGTGATGTTTGTCATTTGGATAAACAAAAAAAAATTGTCTTTCTCAACTAGTATCTCAACAGAGCTTCCAAGATTTTTGAGATAATTCATATGGATATATAAAGTCCCTTTTCTAACACTTTTGTACATGATCATAAATACTTTTTAACTATTTTTGATGATTATAGTCATTATACTTGGTTTGTGTTACTAAAATCAAAATTAGAAGTTCAATTACATATACAAAATTTTGTTCATTTAGTTGGAAACCAATTTGAAACTATCATCAAAATCATTTGCTCCAATAATTCAATTTTTTTTTTTTGCTTTAAAAGACATTTTACACGAAACATGTTATGTTGCCAAACCCTAACAAAATGGGAGAGTTGAGTGGAAACACCAACAATATTCTCAAGACTTCTAATCTTGGGCCTACTAGTCAACTGTGTGCTAGTTGAGAGCTTTGGGCTTCTAGTTAATATATTTCATGAAACACGACATCTTCTCATACTAAATAAATTTTATTAAATTTTAAACTTATGTTCGTTTATGTTTGTTTTCTAATTAAGTGTTTTAAATTAACAATTATATTTTTAAAAACTATTATAATTACATAATTTTCTTAAAATTTTATTAATATTTGTAAATTTTTCAATGTTAAAAACAATAATTATTTAAGGATTAATATTTAATATAAAAGTTGACTATATACATAATAAAGGATATATTTTAAGGATTAATCAAGATTTAATTGAAATAAAGGTGTCCATTTGTGAAAACAGTAAAATTTAGGATCACTTATAACACAATTAAAGTTTATTGTACCTATTTGTTAATAGGATAAAGTTTAAGGATTAATTACAATAAAATAAAATTTTATTTCAAAAAAGGCAATGTTTGAGGTAGTTAAGTACTTTTCCCCCTAAGAAATAAAACTGATAATCATAAATAAAAAGAGATTAAAAGTTCACAAAATGTTCTTAAAAAAAATTTTCGTTAAAGAAAGATAGTTAAAATTATTTTCATTAAAAAATAATTTCTAAAAATATATTTGTTTAAGAGATGGTGGCTATAATAGTGATTATGATAATAATAATGATGATAATAATGATAATGACAATAATAATGAAATAATAATAATGGTGATAATTATTATGAAAGTAATGATGATAATGACAGAGATAATTACTATAGTATAATTACATATAATATTTTATTTATAATATTTTAATCTAAATTATTTATTTTAATATGATGAGAAAGATTTGATATTCTTATTCTTCCATTTTTTTTAAAAAAAATTCTCACATGATTTTTTTTGAAAGGCAAATAAATCTTATATATACAAGGTACAAGGGGTACCTTAACCCTTTTACAATGAATAGGAAACATGGTAGCAACATATTCATAACAATCCGACAAGATACTGTCAGCCTAACACATTCTAGCCCCCAAATAAGCATGTTTATGTCGTTACTAATTCATGACACAACAACAAAGACTAGATTTTCTACCATTCCTCTCCCATTATACAACAATGAGACATAACAAGTTGATAACAATTTATCGAGTTTCAGCCCCCTTTAAGACATGTAACAATAGTATTAGAGTGACATAGCATACTAACCTGACTCCCTTGAAATCATTTGTGGTAGTAGTAGCTATGACCCAAGAAAATAGAGTGCCCCTTAACCTCAAGACTCCAACATAGTTACTTGTTGGATTAGCCCCGAATACATTGTCTAGGGTTGATACTCCATTGTGAGAATTTCACTACAATAAGAAAAATATAAAATATATAATTAATATTGGTTACAAATAATTTTGTACATTTTATTTATTTAAGTGTATTTATTGTATAATAGTTCTCACTCCTTATTTTTCATTGTTTTAAAATTAAATTAAGTATATATATATATATATATACTTTACTTTACTTTACTTTCAACTCGCTACAAATAATGATAAGCATAATTTTAAATGTGATTATAAGAAAATTTATCAAACTTACCATACACTATAATTTTTAATTGGATAATAGTGTAATTTTAATTTTTTTACTAACCTCTAACTTGGCTATCCTAATAAATATTCTAAAATTTCTCCCATGCATCTTTTGACTTTTGTTGTTTCATTTTCCTATTGTTGAGACTGTTGTTAGAGGTTGTTAATTTGTTAAGAATAGTTGGTTGATTAATATATTAATTGGTTTAGTTGACTACTTTAGAAGTTAATAAAAAGTTGTATAGATAAAACACGTATCTTTGTGCTTATTTTAATTAATTACATTTAATTGATTTTTTTTTCTCATTATTTCTTTTTAATTGGGCATAATTGTGTCTATTAAACAAAATTGGTATGAAGTATTAGCCCAGGATATGATTTTGAGGTTCTTCTACATGGTTTGTTTTTTTGTTGTTGTAGCTCAATTCACCACCGGGAGAAATAATTGGCACAAGTCATGCATCCCAACAACCAAACAATGCACTTAGGGACGCAAGGATGCAAAATTTGGACAATAATATCAACACTAATCCCTACCGTGTCCAAAATCAATATTCGAGGTATTGTTCTCCAATCTACTTACATAATTCTTAGTTTCTATGTCTTGCAATATCTCATTTTATTTTAACTGACATGTCATGTTTTTGTGAGTTTCAGCAACGCTCTCTATGACCCTTTATTTGAGACTTGTGGCCTTGTCATTGACCCTCACATTAGATTGTTTCTACAATCAATTGGTAATTAAATGCAATTTCTTTCTTTGAACTGTAATGAGTATCACAATCATACTTCTCTTTTTCCCCTGTTAATATATAATACACCCAAATCTATAGTAATTCATTCACTTTTTATTGAAATCTAAAGAAAATTTACAATATTACATGCGGGATTTACTTACATTTTGAGCCAAAAATCAGCAAGCTTTTGACGATAATCTTGTTGTTCTTGATGCAGATCCAGAAATGCATGGCTATCTCATGTTTGATTGAAAAGTGCGTGAATTTCTCATGTCAACCCTCTTTAGAGTCTCTATCTTTGTTTAATCAAATCAAATTCTCAAATAAAGGATTGTTTATGTGTTTTCTTTAGTTTACATTAAGAGTTCACTAAATGAGACCTATCTTACCTTTCTTGTTCAATAAACATAAAACTGCATAGCCCTTATGGTACCTTATTCATGAGCTTATATGTTGAAATGGACCTATTTTACCATTATCTGTCTTTTAATAATAATAGATAATATCTCATTTAGGTAAGTTCTAGAATGGAGTTTGTTACACATATGTTTGAGTGTGTTTCTCTTATAAAAAGTTGTATTCTTCTATCAATGAAGAATCAGAAATTGTTATTATCATCTTACTCTCTTCTCACACGCATTCCGCCACCTCCTATAGTGGCTTCTGTGACTAACATGGTGATACTAAGAAAGTGAAATCATAGTATGCATGTGATAACTTGGATTGTGAACACGAAGATGGCGTCTGTGCTACGTACGTGAATGTTCTATTATATAAAAAAGAAAAGAAAAATACGTTTTTATTTTATGTGCTTGACAAAAAAAAAAGTGAATTTTTTTTCTAAGAATAAATAAATACATAAAAAGAGGCAAATAAGAATCGTAGTGAAGGTTTCTTGAAAAAAATCCTCCACAAGTTATAAAATGAACTCTGAGGAATTTTTTTTTTATAAAAGCTCCTTATTTCTATATTCTCTTCTTAAACATCATGTTATTTATATTTTAAAGAGATTTTATATCTTAAAAGTTGAATTTATATATGAATCAATCTTACAAATCCATCATGTAAAATAAAGATTATTTTTTATTTATTATAATTTTCATTCTCACATTTATGAGACTTTGATTTTTCTAAATACATTTCCTTACATATATCGCCTTAATACTATTGAACTTGGTCTATCACACATCACATCTAATATAATGAACTTGATCTATAAATAATGGTTAAATACCTCTTTTCGTCCCTGATAACAATTTTTTGTTTCAATTTAGTCTCACTTTAATTTTAGGTCTCAATTTGGTCCCCAATAATTTAAATCATTACAATTTGGGACTTCCGTCCAAATGATTTAAACGGGATTAACTCCTGCTGACGTGGATGCCAGGTGGATGCCACGTAGATGCATAGGTGGATGTCAAATGGCATGAATACACCTGAAACTAGAACGGACCGTTCTGAAACCAAAACGGCTCGTTCTGCATGCACAGGTTATGTGTTAATTTTGCAAATGGAACGGGTCGTTCCAAATGCAAATTTAACACAACATGAGTGCAGCAGAACGGGCCGTTCTGATGTTAGAACGGGCCGTTCTGAACTCAGCACGGGCCGTTCTGAACTCAGCACGGGCCGTTCTGAACTCAGCACGGGCCGTTCCAGAATGCTAACTTCATGCTTTTATTGTATTTTTTTATTATATCTATATTAATAAAAATGTAATAAACAAAAAATACAATAAATTAATATTCATTTATTAATAAAACTAAAAAAAAATCAAATAAGATAAGACCTTCCAAAATCCTTCTTTGATTTGAATTTATCCAGTTCAAAATCTTGACTAAAATGTCGCAATATGATTCAAAATTTGAAAATAAAAATTCATAATATATCATAAATTCAAAGACAGAAATATGGTTCAGAAATTGAAAACAAAAATTCAGAACATAACATATACTAAAAAAGTTCAAAGAAATTATTTCACTCTAGTTTGACTAACAATGAAATAAAACTTTTTACCATTGTCCTTAGTGATACACTGTATAGTTCAAATGTTTAGCAATTGAAGTTATCAATCTCCATTAATAATATTACCAAATCTAGTGTTTGAAATGCTTTGTACAGTAGTTTTTTTGTGCACGAAATTCTGGAACCAGAACGGCCCGTTCTGAAACCAGAACGACCCGTTCTAGTTTCAGAACAGGCCGTTCTGGTTTCAGAACGGGCCGTTCTGGCTCCAGGTGTCTTCAACTATTTTAGGATCCACCTACGTGACATCCACATGGCCACCAGTTAACTCCGATTAAATCATTTAGATAAAAATCCCAAATTGCAATGATTTAAATTATTGGGACCAAATTGAGACCTAAAATTAAAGTGAGACTAAATTGAAACAAAAAATTGTTATCAGGGACGAAAAGAGATATTTAACCATAAATAAATGATAAGTGACTATCTTAAAATGTGATTTCAAATTTAACCTACAAAACTAACTTTTAAGATGATTTTTCTCACTTATATATTTTATTTTAGTCTTATCCTTGCCCGTATGGAATTTTGATTTTTTTCAATATTATAAATAGTGTTTGCCATCCTCTTTTTAAGGATAAAAAGAGCCAAAAAATAGTTGGATCACTTTTCTTAGTTTCTTTTTTTCAACAAAAAAATTAGGTTTTAATTTACTTTTAAATATCAAAACCAATTTTTAATCGAAAATTCATTCTTATATATTTTACAAGAATTCAAACCAAACCTCGAGGTTTTGCACAAATGCATACATCACCCAAATAAAATTGATTAAATGTAATCTATCATTTTGCTAGTTTTATTTTAATTAACGTCATCTTTGAAATTCAATGCGTTTACATTGTTTGCTTGTACAAATTGAAGGAGTTTGGTTACAAAATTAAAAATCGATCTTTGAAAATGAGTCACGAGAGACAAATTAATCTTAATAGTGTGTTTGGATGAAAAATTTTACAAATTCAAGGAATTTTAAATTCTTGGTATTTGAATTACTTTGATTTCAATTTCTATCATTCTTAAAATATTTTGTTTGGATGAGTCAATTCAAATTTTTTAAATTTTAAATTGTTAGGTTGAATATGATAATTTGATTCCATCATAGTAAAATTGATTTTAAAAATATATTTATATGTTGAGATTTTTAAATTAAATTTTATAAAAATAAATATTAATCCATTTTTAAATATTTAATAATTTTAAAAATTAATATTAGATAATATTTAATAATTTTAAAAATTAATATAAGATAATATTTAATAATTTTAAAAATATTTTTGAATGACCAATAATTAAAAGAATGAAGAGATAAGATAAAATATATAGGTGAAATAAGAAAAACAAATATGAGGAATTTTAAATTCTCCCATTTTTTGGAGAATTTGAAATTCTACTATTTTAAGGAATTTCACAAATGCTTGGATTTCAAATTCTTTGTAAATTCATCATCCAAACAAAGCATTTCACCTCAAGGAATTTGAAATTCTTCAAATAAATGAATTACCCTATATAAATTCCTCATCCAAACACACCATTACAGTATTTTCTAATTTCTCTCTCTTAACCAATTATCATAAATCAATTTTATTTTCTAACTAAATTCCTTCGATCAAAACAATATAAATGCTTTGAATTCCCATGAGACAATAATTAAGACTAAAACTAACAAGCAAATTTATTTTAGGCGATGATTGCATTTATGAAACCTGTAAGCTTGTTTTGAATCCTTATAAAATATATAAAGATAAAATTTAAGATTATAAATTAATTTTAAAAAATAAACCAAAGCCTGAAACTTTTATTAAAAAATATCTAAGTAAAGGGCGTGACGATGATGTCCGTGGATGGTGTTTGATCTGGTTTATTGCTAGTTTTTCTTCTTAAACAAAAGGCAAAATATTAAACACTAAATATATAAAAACTCTAGAAAATATATATAATTTATATTTCGGAAAGAAAGTACACGGATGAACACGTAAGTCAACTAAGAAAGAATTATTTTAGCTCAACTATTAGTCTCAAATTCGAATTTAGGTTGTGTTTGGATTGAAGGATTGATTTGGGAGAGTGGAAAAGGAAAGATTTAAAGAAAAAGAGAGTGGAAAGTGAGGTTATTTGAATTAAGGGAAAGATAATAGAAAGTGAGTAGAAAGTTTGTGAGAATTTGTGTAGAAAAAAATTGATGTGATAAATAAAAATTAAAAATTTAATAGATGAATATGTAATTTACACTTTTACCCTTGGATTAAAAATGAGTAGAATATTATTTATTATAAATAATAATAATTACAATAAAATTATATTAATAGGTACAATTTATTAAAAAAAATAATAAATAATGATAATAATAATAATAAATATTAGAAAAATAATAAGAATGATAATAAATAATAATGATACTAATTATAATAAATAATAATAATATTAATATTAATAATAATGATAATAATGATAATAATTATAATAATAAATAATAATATTTAAACATGTATTACTTTATTTATTTTATATTTCCACTTTTTGATGTCAATATTTAAATAATAGAATTTTCTTAATTTATAAAAATTGTACAATAAAATTTTTGAAAGTTAATTAATAAATTAAAAAAATTGATAAATCATTGACATAAATTAGAATGAAATGAAGATACATTTGTTAATTGTACAAGTTAATTTTTACCAATTAAAAAAGTAAGAAATTTTTAACATTACAAAATAGATGGGTAATAACATATTTGTAAAATGGAACAGAAAATACAATTCAGTCATCAATTAAGTAAACAATAATTAAATATGACATAAAATAATAGAAATGAAAAATGTTGCAACTAAATAAAACATATTTAAATTACAATAATAAAAAAGAAAATAAGATAATGTAGTTTATTCAAATGAACGCTGAAAATCATCAAATTTTTGTTCGAGGTCATCAAGCCTGTTATGTACTCGATCGAAACCTCTGTTAACATTGATGGTCAAGTTATTTAATCCTTCTTGTAACCTTTGAATGTCAGTCCATATTTGGGAAAGCATTTGACCATCATACTAGACTGGGGGTTGTTGTGTGATGTCGGCAGGCTGCTTGTCAGCATGGTCCTCAGGCAATGCATGGTCTTCATCTACAACATTTTGGCCATGATCATGATTATCCCTGCCATGTAACCAAACCCGTTGACATTCACGACATTTAATTTTTTCAAGGTTTTTTTATTAAAAAAATGTGGCCACCCTAATTCGACTGCAACATCAATTGATAAGTCTATGCTAGAAACAGCCAAAATGCGTGAAATTAAAATGGGGTATGGAAGAGGCATCCCATTGTCCTTGCATTTGACCATGTGTTGCATGATATAATGGGGCCAGTTGATCAAAATGTTATTCTTTAAGGCTCATAACACAAAAATGTCTTCCTGCAAGAGTTGG